TGAGCTCTAACAGCCCAAACGAACACAGCAATCAGAGCTGCAGCAGAGATAATTGGCTCACAAGTGTTTATACTGGCTGATTTATAAATCAGGGTAATGGGATTGTGTGTGAATGATATGGAAACCTGCGTTTGAACTGTGTGCACATGTGTTGGATGTAAAAGTGGCACACATACAGAGACATGGGGGCTTTGATGACTTGTCCTAGAATCTCATCTTGCCCCAGTTCTGTGGAAAATACACCGTGGTTAGAAACGAGAACAGCAGCTGGAAAGCTAACGCGTGAAAACACACATGCGTGATGCCACTGCTCTCTGCTCTGGTCCCTGTGTGAACGAGCTGCTGCACACATTTCACAGTTCACAGGCTTTAATGAGCTCCTGCAGCCTGTCCATCAAACACCTTAGAAGACCTCAAAGTCAGACAATGACACAGCGGCAGGCAACACAAAGATTTTTTTTTACAAAGGGTTATTTTTAGGCACATTTGTGATTTAGCATATGCTCAGGAAGATAACAACAATGAGCTACGCTGGTTGTGAAATGCTGGAGAGTCTTTTACTACTAGTAGTCAGCTAGGAGGAGCTTATGATAACACATTTAAGATGGATGCAAATTACAAGCAAACTACGCAGGAAGGAATGTGTACTAAGGCTAAGGGCAAGAGAAAATGACCATTGTGCACATGTTGCAGAGATTTAACTCCAGTTTATGAGAGGGATGGTGACAGCTAATCAAACGCAGGCACACACAGGCCGACCAACCATTTGCACCCAGTGTGAGACTCACTCAAGGCTATGTGCAGCAGCCTGGATCGCAACACTGATGGGCAACTAAAGGAAATATGATCATAAATCACCTGCTGCTGTTCCCTACTTAAGCCTCCCCTGTTTCTGCCATAACATTATAAAAGCTGGTAGATTTCCCTCGAGCTGCAAGGAGTTCACTTCACTCAGCTGTTTTGGGGGAGTGCACTTCAGCCAGGAGGCATAAGTGTTTAAAAAGTGACCCTCAGTTTAAATTGTAGCTGACAGGTGCTGCAGTGTTTTTGTATGTGACCCCCTTCCCTGAGAATCACAGGAGAAGATTGAGGGAGGCTGAGGACGCCTGGTTGCTCGGAGACTGCTGTAGATGGATTGTGAAACGCACAGGGGAAAGCAGAGGCCAGTCAATCAAGTGTATCGAGTTGTGTAATAATGGGAAATGTCAGTTGAGGGCGAGGAGAAGGGGAAAGGAGGAGGGAGAAAAGAGCAGGACAGTGAATAAATAATCAAGACACAGATCCCTAAATGAAAGGTTAATTGGATTCTGTCAGAGGGAAATTCAGATGTGGTGTTTCTTAACTGTTGTACAATGTCCAGTTTGTAACTCTAAGTCATGTGTTTTAATCTCTTTAAGCAGATGTTCTCCAGCACGGGTATTACAGTGATTATCCTCTGGTCCTTTTTATCTCTCTGGTTTTAATGGCAGATAACAAAAATGGACGCTCCTCTCGCAACCCCCTGCAATATCCAGATTTGTGAGGTGACCTGTGACTCCTTCCGCATCATGTGGGACATAACCCCCGAGGACAGTGCCAGGTCCACACACTTCTTCATCGACCTCAGCCGCAAAGAGAGCCGGGACCCCAACCGCTTCAAACACAGGGTCTGACCTTATGTACCTTCCTCCGTCCTTTTCATGTCAATCCAATCAATGTGTGTCCTGCTAAGCTGTGTACATTCATATTTCAGATTCACATTAATCCATTTGTATAGGATTGGTGACAGAAGGCTTCCTTGAAGGCTCACTGTATGCCCTTTGGTCCAAATGTCCATTTTGTAGAGGTCTAGCTGGGTTAACAGATGGGTCTAACTGGCTTACGATATTCTGCATTAGTGTGAACACAGAAAACAGCACTTGCGCACTTTGAGTCACTTCCAGTTCCAATACAGACGGGAAAAAAAAGAAAAGTGCAGTCAACAGCTTCGGGCCAATGACTCACATTGCTTCCTTTTAAAGTGGACAAAAACTGACAAATTCCTCTCCAGCACCGAACAGTTTTCATGCTAAAAAAGCACCGCAGACATGAGGCAACAATGTAATGGCTTGTCTCTTTACAAACATATTTGTATATTTGTCTGTTCACTTCCAGCAGTGAATTCAATTAGTTCAGCATTCAGTGCTATTCTTCCCCACATCTCTAACATAGGCCTAAAACATATATTTTCATGGGATTTGCACATGTTAAAAATGTAATTTTAAGCAAATGTGTTCTGTTTGTTGGTTGGGTACTTGGTCCATAACTTTGGTCCACATAAAATATCTCAAACTATTTGATGCAATGTTGTAAAGACACTGTGTTTCCCAGAATATTTGGTTAATCTGTTGACTTTTAAATGTGTGCCATGATCAATATTAGTGTTTCCTACCTGCAGAACTAATAGCACATTAGCTTCAACTGTACTGTGAGTTGGTTGGTAATTAGCAAATATAAGCATGCTAACTTGCTAAGCTAAGGTGATGAAAACTGTAAACATTAGACCTACTATAGTAAGCATCTTAACATTTCCATTGTGAGCATGTTAGCATTTTGATGTTAGCAATTAGTATACAGCCTCACAAAGCTCTATCTCTCTATATTAAATATTGCTGTAGGAAAGATTTGACCTTTTTTTTCACACAATCCTGTGTCTAAATATAACTCCTCTAGCGGAAGCCCTTCATAATCTCTCTTTGTTTAAGATACACACTGCTGACTGTAATTCTGACCCATTTCTTGCAGCTGGCAAATCAATCGTCTTTAAAAAAGTGCTTTTATGAAGTCAAGGCAGGGGTACGAGTGTGAGTTGTTCCTGTCTGCAGGATAAGCTCTCTCTCCGATACACAAACTGAAACAAACAAACTTGCATCAGAGATGTTGCCATGGATATATGGGCCTCTGAGCATTCAGTAATTAGCTATTGGCCTTGGACAAAACAAAGCTGTCGATTTGATGAGATGTCTCCTAGTTACAGCAGCTTGTGCTTGAAGGTGAAAATCCTGCTAATAAGGCAAAGTTTATGTAGGGGAATGGCTCACCTAACAATTGCATTTACATTGTTTTGTTTGATATGTAAATGAAACACACAACAACCTGTTCTAGCCTTGCATCCTGTCTCTGATGTCGACTCCCTCCCTGTTTTGTCCTCCAGGATGTGCCAACCAAGCTGGTGGCCAAGGCCGTGCCCCTCCCCATGGCAGTGAGGGGGCACTGGTTCCTCAGCCCGCGGACAGAGTACTGTGTTGCTGTCCAAACTGCTGTCCGACAGGCGGACGGTGACTACCTGGTGTCCGAGTGGAGCCAGGTGGTGGAGTTCTGCACCGGGGGTATGACAAACTAAATCTGACAGCTATAGTAACATGTACTATAAAGAGTATGGGAGGCATTGAAGGTCATTAGCATTTTACTTAACGGTCACCTATTATGCAAAATTCATTCATTCATGTCTCTTCTACATCAGCATGTGTCCCCTCTGTGTAAAGAGACTCTGAAAGTTTCAGGAACAAAGATTCTCTCTCTTTTTGTCCTGATCCATTTTATTCTGCCCTCGCAAGAATACTTTTCGGATTGCAGGCTTGGCAGATAGCTTAACACGGAAATAAACACCCAGGAGACAGCAGCTCAGTTTTGGATGTTTACTGATTAAGTTCCATTTTCCTTTCCATTTTTCATTTCCATTTTTGTAAAACTGAAATAAAAACAAACCCAAAGTCATGAGACGTTGTCACATTAAACACTAAATAAACAAAGAAACTAGACTAAAACAAACATTCCAAACAACAGAGTACCTGTTAGCATAAATGCTACAAACATTTCCACTGCTGTTCACAGGCTAACAAGTTTAGCATCATTCATTGTTCTTCATGTTTGCATATAATCAATTCAAATGTGCAACTAAGTATACACGGACAATATATGGAATGGTACTTACAGACATAAAGACCCTAGGATTTGAGCAAGGATTTTGTTGGCAGGAAACAACCAAGCCCCCAGGAAGTGCGCTGGAGTCTGATGAGAATATTCGTGCTGGTCAAACGGCGGTACTACACCTCCTTTAGGTTGCTGGGCCCGGAAACACTTTTTCCCATTGACTTACATTGGGAAAGAGTGGTCTGTAACTCGTTGGATAATTTTTTTTAAACAAAATAAACAACCCAGTATGAACACTTGTATAGCCCTTATAAAAACTTTGTTCCTCAAGTTGTAAAAATGTGCTAATAACGTTATTCTGAGAGTTATTTCCCTCTGCATTATGAACGCGCATCTAACCCACGGGACCGCACCGCCCGGCACGTTCATGTTACGTGTTCAGCACTACATGCGTTTATCTTTACCCATGGATGCACAATAAGAACGGACCCATATCGCCTTACTGCCATCCCACGGAGCTGTAATAATGGATATATTGCACATGTTTGCTGTAAACTAATTTATCATTTGTAAAATATTATACTACATGGGCTGTATGATGTAAATCTTGTACCGTAGATGTTATAATAAAGTTAATATTACCGACGTTAGATTAACGTCCCTGTAGTTTATTATTGCACTAAGAAGCTTATTGCACTATATATATATATACAGTGCAATAATTCTTTCATGCTAAATGAAGCTCTGTTGGATATCACTAAATCCTGTTACAGCGTAATATAAGTACATAACGATTGATGTTCACATTAGCATAATTACTAGCTAGCCGCTAGCTGCTAACTGCCGCCTCGTTAATATCAAATCCATCATAATAACAATTATTACCATACACCATTACCATGCTGTCATGAACGCACGGTGCTGTTACGTGTACGCAAATTGACGTGCTTGATGTGAACGCGCATTTTGGTTAAAGTTGCGCATGCTCTATGAGTGCACATACGGGTACTTCTCAGGCATGCCGGGTAATCTGTGACGTTTCACTCTCTCAAAAGTTGGGCCATTTTATCATCATGCGCTAATGAGCAACTCTCATAGGAATGAATGAGGCCCCGCCTCCCACGCTGTATCCAGTTCTTATTATACATCCATGGAAACAACCCATGTGCTCCATAGACAGACAGAAACAGGAAACTACGGCAAGCATTTATGGACACCCAGTGCAAAACCCAAAACCCTTTGCAGACCCTCTTAAAGGGGCAGCACACTCCCCGCTTGGTATAATGTACCACTAAGTCCCTTTGAGAAGGAGAACAACTTCAGAGACTGGTCTTGAATACACCCTGGGAGAACCTTCTTTAATCACCCGTACTTCCACTTTACGGACCCTGTTGTCTTGACCAGGAAAGGTATTTACTATAAGTCTAGTAGGCTATTCGTTCCTTTTGACCTGTCCGTCCTTCAGAAGCACAACGTCTCCGATTTGCAAAGATAGGCTTATCTGCTTGCCATTTTCTTCTTGGTTGTAGTGTTGCAAGGTATTCTTGTCGCCAATGTGGGACAGCTCTGGAGGACGGGCAGGAAGGCGGCGACGGGACAGTTCCGGAGGACGGGCAGGAGGGTGGCGTAGGCCGCGATGGGACCCCTCCAGAGTCCGCTGGATCGCCGGAGGTGCAGGAGTACTGGGATCGGGAGACGGTAAGACCCCGGACGGGACAGGTTTCGGAGTAGGCGTGACCATAACCGTTGTCGGTGGGACAGGAGTCGGCGGGACAGTAACCCGTGTCGGAGGGACATGTGTAGGCAGGACCCCCGACGGGACAGGAGTTTGCAGGACCCCCGACGGAACAGGACATAGGGTTGGCAGGACCCCCGGCAGGACAGGGTGTTGGAGAGTTGTGTCCACTCGCTCTTTGATGTGCAGATTGTTAATGCAAGGGTCAAAAAGAGATGTACGTCCATTACTCAGCACGTTTGTCCTGAAGACATTGACGCTGTCTAGTTTGTGGGTTTTTCCAAGACAGACTTCTCCTATGATCACCCAACCTAGGTCGAGGCGTTGAGCATATGGGGCGTTGTGGGGTCCATTGCACAGCTCCCGAACTTTATGTGCCTGTGGTATATCTCGGCCAAGCAGTATGAGAATGTCTGCCGTAGAATCTAGTGCAGGGATCTTGTCCTCAACCCGGTTGAGATGTGTGTAGTGTTTTGCGATCTCAGGCGTGGGAATTTCAGATTTGTCATCTGGGACCATATCACATTCGATTAGAGTGGGAAGTGAAATACACGTTTTGCCATCCAATGCCTCCATTATGTAATTGTTTGCTCGTCGCCCTGAGGTTTCAAAGACTCCTGAACATGTATTCAGTGTATAGGATGCTGTGTCATGATTAACATCAAAGAGTTCAAAAAACTTTGTTTTTGCCAAGGACTTATTGCCCTGCTCATCTAGGACAACATACATTTTGACAGCTCTCTCTCTCTGGCCTGCTGGATACACTCTCACTAAACAAATCTTGGTGCATGATCTTGGCTTTACTTCAGTCCCACAGATGTCAGTGCATTTTGACGTGACAGCGAAAGGAGAAGATTCGTCTTGCTCCCCGCCTTGATATCTTGAGGTTACGGCGGCCCCTGTTGTCCATGGAGCCGGTCCTGGATGTAGTGCAGTAGGGTGGCGGTCACTGTTGCACTCTCTGCACTGAACCTTTTTGTCACAGTCTTTGATTTGATGGCTGGTTGATGCACAGCACCTAAAGCAAATGTTTGAATCCTTAAGATAGGCTTTTCTCTCATCCAGAGATGTATACCTGAAACCACGGCAATTCCTGAGAGGGTGTGGTTTGTGGTGGAGTGGACATTGCTTATCTGGGTCGACAGCTCTTTTTGCTGCTGAGCTTTCATAGCTGTTATCAAAGTTTGCTGAGACCTCTGTCCTCCTTACAGAGAGTGGCGTTCTCATGTTGGGTTTGAAAGGCTCCTCAATCTTGCTTATACTCGGACCACCTGTGAGCTGGGCAAAGCTTGGATCATTGAGTATCTTGGCCTGGTCACAAACATACTTTGCAAAGATGAAGAATGGTGGATACGATACTCTGTGTGTTTCTTTGTAACGTGATGCTAGAGAGACCCACTTGCCATGCAGGGAATATGGCAGCTTTTGGACGATGGGAGTGATGCCACGGGATGTGTCTAGGTAGCTCAGACCAGATAGAAATCCATCTGTCTTGGCAGCTTCAAGCTCCAGAAGAATGTCTCCCAGCTCCCTTAACTTTTGATTTTCTCTGTTGTTGATTTTTGGGAAATCATCAACTTTTTTAAGGAGTGCATTTTCTATTGCTTCAGGTGACCCATAACAATCTTCCAACCTTTGCCATAGCATATTGACACCTGCTTCCGCATTATGGATGTGAACCGATCTGATTCTCTTTGCATGTTCAAAGGATTTCGGTCCAAGCCATTTACACAGGAGGTCAGCTCTTCTCTTGATGACAGGTTCAAGCCCTCTGTGGAACTGAGGAATGATGCTTTCCAGGCCCAATCGTTTTCCGGCTGGTCATCAAACTCCAATAGCCCGGAGCTAACCATTTCCCGACGTATTAAATACTTGGCCAAATCTGCTGTAGCTGATGAATGAGACTCATTGGCTCTGGGTGAAACATCTGCATGTGGCTGAGCAGGTTGCTGAACATGACTGGATGGTCTTGCTGCGTGTGACTGCTCATGATGACTGTAGATGTTTCTGGATGGACCTTCAGCAGGGCTATTTATCTGGCTGGCATCTCGCTCCTGATTGTGTGCATGTTGAGCAGGTAGTTTAGGAAATCCACCTTCAATGACCCCACGTGGCTGTACAGCACCTCTTCCCATGTAGCCTTTAGCTTCCTCACCGTCGTCCATTGCGTGCTGGCGCCCCGGTGTGGGTATGGGTTGTTGCGGCTTTGAGTCTTGGTGAGAGTCAGGTGCTGGATTCCCCTTGTACCACTCAGTGTACGCACTCTTTAGGCTTGCACGATCTGAATCTCCATATGCATCCTCAGCAGCTGCTTCGAGAACGTCAGCTTCAGCGATGGCAACTGCAGCAGCATTTTCTAGCCGCAATGTGTTGAGACTAGCTTTAAGCTCCGCTTTCTTTCTTGTAGCTTCAGCATCAATAGATGCCTGTGCTTTAATCATGTCAGCTTCTCTTTGTGCAAAAGAGGCCTGGACACGTGCAGCCTCTGCTTTTGCATGAGCTCTAGCTGCCATGGTGTTGACTGAGGACATGCGGCTTCAGGGCCGGACTGGGACAATAAGTCAGGCCGGGAATTAGACACCCAGCCAGGCCACTACCAGTTTTTTGTGCCATTTTGCTGGATTTATTTGTCAACTTTTACAGCGTTGCTGCCCATAGTGATAGCCCCAAATCTACTACCCAAAAATAAACATATGGACATGGGTTACTATTTAAAAAAAATGTGCAAATCTATTTAGGAACCTATGTGAACATATTTTAAGTGGGGGTGGACCTCAAATCCTATAGGGGGGTCCGGGGGCAGGTAGGATTTTTTTTTTTTTAAATGTTGGACTTAAATGCATCAATCTGGTGCACTTTGAGGGGGAAATAAAGAGACACCCATATGAAACATAACTGTATACATTTAAATAATCATAAAATCATAAAAACATGGCCATAACCAATAACATACCATATCCAATATGAAAAAACATTGAAAGTTGTTTATTTATTTATTTTTGGTTCATTTATAGTTGTGAGTGTGTCTGTGCTCCTGAATCAGCCTCACCTGTCTCCCTCCTCTCCCCCTGCTCCTCTTTGAGGCAGAAGCAAAGACTAGTTTTAGCTCTCAACAAGTTTTAATAGTTTATCTTACCTTTTTTTACCTAGTTAACGTTTTTTTAAATTATTATTCACGCTTATTTTACTAATCACTTCCCCCTCAAATGGAAATATGTGTTTACATAATTTCCAATCTTTATTCCAGACTCAAGGTCCATATCACATACGAAAAGACAAAACACACATCAATAAATAAGATAAAAAGCTAAACACAAAACAGATAAAAACAAACAGATAAAAACCTAAAATCAGTCCAATCACAGCTAGCCACGTATGCTCACTGTCTGTAGAGGCTGTTGCGCCAATGTCTCCAAATCATGGAAGAGAACCGGGTAGAACTCTTCACAGGGTTAATTAAAATCGAGATAACATGATTGTCCGAGGCGACACATGCATTTGTACATTAACTTTCTTAAAAGGGCTTGACAAGTAGGTACCCCCAAGTTAACAAACAGCTGGCTGGCACTGTGCCATCTTGGTACCCTCAGCAGCAACCGTAAACCATCATTGTATGCAACTTTTAGTTTTTGCATGCTTCTAGCCTTGTAGTTACTCCACAGGTGAGCCGTGTACAACAGAAAGCTTTAAAAAGTGATACCTTGACATCTACAGAGCACTTGTGAAACTTCCGCATTAATATGTTTGCCTGTGCATACAGTTTGCAGCGTTGTCTATGGATGTCTTTGTCATCTGTGAGATCATCAGAAATATAATGACCAAGGTTGGTACTTCATCTCACTGCACACAAGTAGAATGTTGCTACTGAGAATACAATTAGGAAATACAGCCTTTTTATCCTCTTTACTTCGCACAATCATGATGCTACTCTTCTTGGCGTTATACATAACGCCAAGAAGAGCATACATAAATGGTGACCAAACCGTTTGAGACCCACTGAGTACTTAGACTAAGTTAACTATCTAAACACTCAGAGTCCTTTACCTCACCTGAGCTGTAGTTATCAGCCTCTCAGTCTGACAGGAGAGGACTCTCCTCCACCTTGTTGTTGAAAAAGCTCCTTATATCCGTTAGCGCAGCTAGCTAGCACCAGATGCTAACAACAACAATACACGTAACCGGTGCGCGCGCTTTATCTCACTCGCTCGTGCCACACTTAACACACCCTCCCGAGCTTGAATGACACACAGAGACCAATCAAGGGCATTAGTATGATCTGTATGAAAGTGGCCATGTCGGCAGGCCACATCATGTAAACAGCCAGTCACCCTCTGTGAGGCAGAGTCAGACCCACATTTGCGCAGCGTTGCGTTCACAATACATAGGCCTACATGAAAAAAAAAATCCTCAAGCCAGCAGGCCACTTAGCAGGCCTGGCCATCGGGAAACCTCCCGGTCCTCCCGATGGCCAGTCCGGGCCTGTGCGGCTTGAACGTGAGGTGTTGGAGCATTGTGATCGTGTTTCCCACTCATCATTGTTGTCTGCCATCATGTAGACTGTAGCTTTGATGACAGAAGAATGCGGTTGTGTCTACTGGTATCCCATCTTCTGTGGCAAATCCTACAGGCGTGGGTGTCTTTTTACTATTCTGCCCTCGCAAGAATACTTTTCCGTGTTAAGCTATCTGCCAAGCCTGCAATCCGAAAAGTATTCTTGCGAGGGCAGAATACATTTATATAAAAAACCTGTCTGAAAATGAGCTGATCAGATTTTGGCCACTTTATGATGTCATAACGATTTTTTGGCTTGGTAACCATTAAGGCCCGTCCACACAGCAGCTTTGAAAAAATCTTGAAAATCTTGGAGGTAGGCGTGTCTGAAAGCTTGGGGATTTTTTGTGAGCAACGGGACCAACAACCAATCACATGAATCTCCCGCCCCCGATATACAAAGCAAAAAACCCCGGGGATTTTATGCAAGGCAAGGCAAGGCAAGGCAAGTTTATTTATATAGCACTTTTCAACACAAGGCAATTCAAAGTGCTTTACAAAAAATGAAAGAGATTAAGAAAATGGCATTTAAAATCAGTCATTAAAAAGAAAAGCTAATATAATAAACATTAAAAGAAAAAAATACATGGCAGTCAATTAAACATTAAAATAAAAAAGTACATGGATAAAAGTTACAGTGCAGTCTAAGATATGAATAGTTCAATTAAAAGCAGCGACAAAAAGAAAAGTCTTCAGCCTGGATTTAAAAGTAGTCAGAGTTGTAGCGGACCTGCAGGTTTCTGGGAGTTTGTTCCAGATATTTGGAGCATAATAACTGAACGCTGCTTTACCATGTTTAGTTCTGACTCTGGGGACAGAAAGCTGACCAGTCCCTGAAGACCTGAGAGATCTGGATGGTTCATAATTTAGCAGGAGGTCAGAAATGTATTTTGGGCCTAAACCATTCAGTGCTTTATAAACCAGCAGCAGTATTTTGAAATCTATTCTTTGACACACAGGAAGCCAGTGTAAAGACTTCAGAACAGGAGTGATGTGATCCACTTTCTTAGTGTTAGTGAGGACTCGAGCAGCAGCGTTCTGAATTAGCTGCAGCTTTCTAATAGATTTTTTAGTGAGACCTGTGAAGACACCATTGCAGTAGTCGAGTCTACTGAAGATAAAAGCATGGACAAGTTTTTCCAAATCCTGCTGTGACATTAGTCTTTTAATCCTAGATATATTCTTTAGGTGATAGTAGGCTGATTTAGTAACAGTTTTAATGTGACTGTTGAAACTCAGGTCAGAGTCCATGACTACACCTAGATTTCTGGCTTTATCTGTTGTTTTGAACATTGCACACTGAAGCTCAGTGCTAACTTTTATACGTTCTGACTTGGCTCCAAAAACCATTACCTCAGTTTTATCTTTGTTTAATTGGAGAAAGTTCTGACACATCCAGTCATTGATTTGTTCAATGCACTTACTCAGTGTTTGAATTGGAGCATAGTCTCCTGGTGAAATTGTCACGTAAATGTGTGTGTCATCTGCATAGCTATGGTAACTTATTTTGTTGTTCTTCATTATCTGAGCCAGTGGTAGCATGTAGATGTTAAAGAGAAGAGGCCCCAAGATGGAGCCTTGAGGAACCCCACATGTCATATTTGTCAACTCAGATGTGTTTACCTATAGAAACAAAGTTGTTTCTGTCCTTTAAGTAGGATTCAAACCAATTCAGAACTGTTTCCGAAAGTCCCATGTTTTTATGCGAGCAATATATATATATATATATAAACTCCCCAAACAGGCGAAAACCCACCAGTTTCACCCACTGTCTCTGCCACCTCCCTCCATGCCTGGTTCCTCCGGTTTGTATCCCGGTAAATAGTTACTGGTCGTAAAGAACCGGGTGATTTGCTACCGTAATTTCTCGTTTGGATTATGAGGAAATGAACTGTGGTATGTCTCTCCCAGCTTGCACGCGGTTTGATTGGCTAGCGCTTGTACTGTCAGATTTGCATAAACGGGATTTGATTGGCTGACGCTTCCACCTCAGCTTCAAAAGTTGAACATTGCTCAACTTTTGAATCCTGAAAATCCTGGAAATCTTCGCTTTGCTTCCCCGCAATGCAGTTTGGTGAAAAGTGAGGCAAAGTGACGTCACCCCATTCAAAGTGAATGGGCAGAGAAGCGTTGGAGGCGTTGGAAGATTTTTTTAACGCTGCTGTGTAGACGGGCCGTTAGCCAATCACCAACCAAGGTAACCCCCCCCCCCCCCACCTTATCACCTGAATCTCCTCCTAAAGCACCAGTTTTCTTTTTAACCAAATATCTCTCAGAGGGGCGTGGGGAGTGGCTCCTTATTTTCATCTAAAGTAACAGACAGAGAATCAGCACTTTTGAAACAGGGCTGAAACAGAGGGGATTATGGGATGCTGCAATGCATGATCTGTTTGGTGTTTCGAGGCAAACATTTCAGAGACATGTTTTGTATATATATGAGAGCTATAATATATTGATAGTACAGTATAATAGGGGACCTTTAACTCCTCCTTTCCATCCACTTTGCAGACTACGCCATGGAGCACCTGCAGCAGCTGCTCGACAAGGCCAAGGGCTCTGCAGGACGGCTGTTGAAGTTTTCTGTGTTTTATCGCAACCAGCATCCAGAATACTTCGACTTTGTCAGGTCAGTGCTTTCTTATCTCCTAATTACCGCAAAGCAATTCCAGCAGCAATTAAACCCGCTCTCATGCCTCTGTACAGTAAATAAGAAGCTAATGCATGTAGTTTGTTATCAAGCTTAAGAATGAAAACAAGGGAAAATATATCTGTCCAATGGTAAAGAGAAGCCACCTATTCAAACTTGAAGGTATAAACAACAAGGTAATTGTTCATTTCATTTGGTCACCTCTAAAGCCAATGTAATCCATTTGCGCATGAGTGTTGGGCAACATTATCCATAACCTTTCTACATCTTGCTTGTTTTAACTACATATCTTTGAACTAGGTGAAGTCTTTCCGTCATCAGATGTCTGAACCCTAAGTTATCAGACAAACAAGCTCAGACATTTTTAGTGGCAACAGCATCTGAGAAACGATGATTTTTTCAAGATCTACCTGTTCTTGCAAGTGTATCTCGATGTTAGCTGTAAGATATATTGATTGATTGGATATTGTTATATTTGTTTCCGAATTGTTGTGCTAAGCTAACTGGTTGCTTGCTGTAACTAAACATTTAGCACACATGGATAACAATGGTATACATTTTCTCTTTAACCCCCACAGCAAGAAAGTGTTTTACCCAAAATGTGAAGTATAATCCCCCTTTATTTTTCATATCTTTGCTTAGAGGGGAATGTGGAGGCCTGATGCGTCCCGCCCTGAAAGACATCAGTGGAAGTCATGGATCTCCTGTCAATGGAAAACTGCATGGAGTCTTTTTCAGCTGCAGCACAGAGTTTGATACGGGCCTCCCTCCCAAAGACTCCCCGTACGGCCCGCAGCGTTTCCTGATCCCAGCGGGACACCTGCTTAACCCCAACATCTCCCTGTACTTTGCAGACTTCTACTGTATGTACACAGCCTACCACTACGTAGTGCTGGTGCTGGCCCCTGTTGGCTCGGAGGGCGATACTTTCTGTCGCTCCCGCCTCCCCATGCTGGACTTGGCCTCCAACCCCTTCCTGACATACACTGCCCCTCAGAGGCCGGGGGAGGAGCCTTTGTTCTGCCACGCCATCGACGTCATCCTGGAGGTGATTTTCACTGAGCCAGTGTCTTTGGATCAGGGCCACGTGGAGCAGATCCGAGGGCACCACCAGCTCATGAGTCTGACCACAGCCAACGCCAAGAAAGACCCGAGCTGCAAAGTGTGCAACATCAGTGTGGGGCGCTGAGAGCTGGGAGTGTGTGAAACTACAAGATTGAAAGACACAGTGTTGCACCAGACAAAAAACGGTGAAAGCATCAAGTGTAGGTCAGAACACAGTGGAAACAGCCCACCTCTCGGGGTGCGTGCATGCTACTGCCCCTCTTCCCCCCGCCTGGTATAGAATAGTGAGTATTAAATAGAAGATTTTTACAATGTGATTTGCAGAACTTAATCATGATCACAGCTGGAAATATAGTCCATTAACGGATGAGTGGAAAACAGCTTGAGGAATGATGCTGGAAAGTATCAGTTCTGCTTATTTGATCAAAGTTATCTGTGCTCTCCCTTGTCTCTGTGGCATTTTATTAATATATTTTTCTTCTTTTTAATTTAAATGTTTTCATCAAGATGTGTTGGATTTTATGTTTTGTTTCTCTGTACTTCTAGTTTGATGTTATTTCCTGTTTTATCCGAATTTAAACAGTACAAAATCTAAAAGCATGCCCTTACACTAAAACATTACAGAACTGAAGAATATTAGGGTATAACAAATCTTTTTGCAATATTTACCTCATACAATACTCTATAAGTCATTGCCAGATGTTCTTTGTCTAAAGAAAAAATGACTTATTGCTAAATGTCTAATATTATTCCTACATTGTAGCTTTAATTCCAGTTGTCAGCATCCCTTGCAAATACTTGAACCACTGTTGTAGAGTTATGATTTGTTAATTGTAACTCAGTGTCTAAATGTTACACAAAGTTTACTATGAAAGAATATGGTGCAATGTGACAATGAAAGCAGTGTGCTGGGATTTTAGGAGGATGGTATTGGGGAAGATGGTATCACATAGTTCCCTGGGATCAGTCTCTGATAGCAACCCTCTGCTCTGTAAACAGGGCTGAGCTAAGATTAGCTCCCATCCTGCCATGGGGTTTCTGTTTGGCCCTGCCCAGTAATATCTGACCTACATGGCAATCCCAGAAAATGTCCAAAGTGAACGGGATCCCGTCCCTGGTGCACAACAGTACGCATGGTAAGTGGTCAGAATGTAGGGCATGTCAAGAGAGCGCGCACTGAAAAATAAAAAGCTTAACCATTGAAAGTGAATGTGAAAGAAAATCGAATGCAAAGACCTGTTTCAAAGAGTTTTATACAAAGCACTAACTAAGATGTCTAAACATTTCTGAAAATTAATTCAAATGTAATAAAAAATATATATAAGCTCATCTTTACCCAGGACTGATGCTTTATGTCTGACAACAAAAAGGGATAATATCTATTTTAAGCACGTCATGCCCTTTCACTCAGATTCTTCCCGCAGCAGAGATGTGAGCTGACGCACAGGACCACGCTGTAATTCTGTCCGTTGTTGTTGTCCCAAAACGGCTCGCTCTGCCCACCGGGAGAATAACTCAGACAGAACTCAATCCTCCGTTTGGCATCCAGAACTTTAGGGATGGCAATGTCAAATTCAAAGATGTCTGTCTGAGGGCCCCCGAAGCGTTTCGGCAGGTAAGCACAGGGCACGTCTCTGTAGCTCTGCCACGAGTCAAAGGTGATGCGAACACGAACCTCCTTCTGGAAGCTGATGTTCCTGACGCGCACCGTCCCGTGGAGCGCCTGTTCATTAACGCTGCAGTTCTCCAGGGTCACCATGCTCTCGGCTAGCTTTGCACGAAAGGCCTGGAAATCTGCAGAAGGCTGCGGGAAGCCCAGTTTGAGGCTTGTTCCTGGGCAGCAGGTGCTGACTGTGCAGCTGTAGCCATCCTCCATCATGCTCCCCAAATCCTGCAGCGACGGCAGCAGGTTAATGTCAGACTGCTCCTCTTCATCAGAAAATTCTCTCACGGCTGTCAAAGACATTCCCCGTGAGTCAGCGAAAATCACACGTTTGTTCTTCACTGGGAATAAAAGATCATCATCTTCATCAAAGTCCTCCAAGAAGGATGGGAAGAGGTGGGTCAGATAGGCTTGTCTAAAGATTTCAGAGGAAAGCTGATCAGACACTTTAAGCCGGATGCACGGGCGCTGAGGCTTCAGGATGGGAACCCAAACATGAGGACAAAGTTGTTTACGTTGGTTCAAGCACAGTCTGACCGCAATCTCTGCAAGTCCAGCTGACTGGGCCATTGACTCCAGGCTGACCCCTGGCAGAACACTAGAGACAAAGGGATTTCATTAAAAACGGTGGCCATGGAAGTCTTAATAAACGTCTAAATATCATGGAGTTGTAGTAATGACATGCAACCCAAGATCAAGATGATATGACATTATATTCCCCGCTGTTTTGCAGCCCAAAGCAACAGCATAACGAGTCACTTAGTTTGCTTACGTTGCACTGGACATCTCAATATTGATAGTGTGATCTTGAAGAATGGAAATGTTATCAATGTTTGGTTGTAGTTCTAGAAAACAGAAAAAAAACGTTTAATGCCAGTATATAGATCAATGCAGCATTTATGTACAAATATTAAAGACCTCTATTTGTGTGGAATTCTGAAATTATAATCTCAAAAACATGCTCAAATATGTCTCAATACGTACTTACAAACTCCCACGAGCAGCAAGTTGCCTGCAGTGTTTCATCCCTCTGCAGTAGAATCGTGCAGGACCGTTTTTATACCACCTCAGTTAGGATGTCATGCTGTAGGCACCACCCTCTCTACTCTCCTGACCAATCAGAAGTGCTATCTGGTTTTCTGTAATGTTTCAAACCCGCCTATAAAACCCATTCCAGATCCTTTACAGCAACATCCCTTATGTTTAACTTGTGCTAGTGCCACCCTAGTTCTAATTTGACAGACACATGTTACTGTAGACCGATGTCTTTGTTTTATCACATCATGACGGTGTTGTCCAGCTAACACAGTCAGAGTATCCTGAATATAACTCTCCTCTACACTATGGAAAGTATTCCAGTCATCCCTGGTTTATTCTCAGACCTGTCAGTGGACACCCAGGTCTCAAGCCAAATTCTCTGCTGGAAGGCAGTCCTGAAGGTATCGTTGTCTGTGTGACGGGGTTACAGAACGGCTGAGTATGCAAGTCACTAAAGTGAGGAAGCTAGTGTCCACATTACCCAACATGAAACATATTTGTGCCGCACACAGTGGTCCCAGACGTTTTGAGATGTATTTTGTCATGAAACTTGCAAACATGTTGTTGACTGAGGGATGTGTTACAGAGGGTTATACCGGTCACATTCAGACTACCATAAAAAAGTAGCTTTTGCCCTTGCTTATCATTAAATCACATACACCCGGCAAAGACCCATGATCCCCAAAGAACTACCGACCCATTTCCGTCCTCTGCATCACTTACAAGCTCTACGAGAGGCTGCTACTCCAACGCCTCATGCCACTCATAGACACCAAGCTGACTAAAGACCAAGCTGGTTTCCGTCCTGGCCGCTCCTGTGCTGGACAGCTACTCAACCTCACCCAACACATTGAGGATGGGTTTGAAGGAAAACAAATAACTGGAGCAGCATTCATAGATCTTTCTGCTGTCTATGACACTGTCCAACACCGTACAGGAAACTACTGGACATGACTGGTGACCTGAATCTGTGTCAAGTCATCAAAAGCCTCCTCAACAACAGGCGCTTCTACGTCCAGTTAAATGACCAGAGGAGCAAGTGGAAAGCCCAAAAGAACGGCCTCCCACAAGGTAGGGTACTAGCCCCCCTCCTGTTCAACATATACACAAACGACCAGCCATTACCCCAGAATGCCAACGTTTCATCTATGCAGATGACCTCTGCATCAGCACCCAACAAGTAGACCTCCAGAAGATTGAGCCTGTCCTTGAAAGTGCCCTCCAATAAATGTTGACATTGACAAAAATGTTGATTGACATATCCAGTGCATCACTGGCTACTTGAGAACATTTGCTTAGAAGCAAATCAACAACATAATTTACTACTCTATAAAATTGCTTACAGAGGAGGCATAAATAATATGAAATATGAAAATCAACAGATATCAAATATATTATCAATGGCTCCTTTGGGCAGGTTACTTGGAAACAAACGCAGTCCTGTGGTGTCTGTTGTACTGAGAACAAAGGGAATCTATTTGATTTCTTTGATTATTTATCAGGTAAAAGAATAATGAAAAAAAAAGTAATTTACACATTTTTGTTTATTTTTTGAATCAACGTTTTCAAGGTCTTAAATAACCCTTCTTTCATTTTCAAACATTTTTCTATGAATGCTTTTTCTATGAATGCTTTCATGTTCTCTGCTTTTCTTCCTGGTTAAATCTAGAAGACACTCCCAGTGCATTTCTCCTAACCTCACAATCACCCTGAGCACTAGGTTTCTAATTAGATTGGCGGTGCAGTTTAACAATAATTTGACACGTGGCTCAGTTTTGCAGCATCGCTCTCCCGCAGTCCCTTATTAGTTCCAAAAACTGAGCAATGTGTGTGACGGCAAACAATAAGCACTGATTGCTCCCTTTGAGACCGTTATATAACAATGTTATTATAGCAATTATGTCTCAGAGAACGATGTTCCACACACCCCTTTAGGGTAAAACTAAAACATGCAGTCAGAAGAACTTTGTGAAGCAGGGGGGAGTTAAAAACATATAATATACACTTCTGAAAGTGGAAGCCAAGGTGAGAAGAGACACAGACGTTATCTGAACTTTAACAGGATTTCTATTATTTAAAGTGACAGTAATGTATGTTAATTTAAGCGTATATGTCATTAAAACAAATGATCTACCACACATACACACATTTGTACATGCACTTTGTGTTGGTACGCACTGTGCACCAAGCGAACTGATGAAAATGTCACCTTTGGGTGCATCTTGTAAAAGTCCAATGATGTGAGTCAACAGAATGAATTAGCATTAGATCATCTTAACCAGCCTCACAAACACCAACACAGCAGAATACATTACAGTTATGTAACCAAACTTGTTGTGACATGATTAAAAAAAGTACAAAAATAACACCACACACTGCAAACGCTGCTCTGGCGAACAGGCATCATACATCAGCAAGCACTTTAACACCAGCAATGGCCTTATGTCAGGTGTTTCTTCCCAGGTGTCTTGGGGACATGGTGCCACAAATGTCTGTGTTTGAGTCCCACAAGTAAGTCCTTAATCCTGACAACAGTGAGAGAGAGATGGCTGCAGTTCCCGATGTAATCTCTCCAAGTTAATGTGCTCCTTTCACATCATTGCTGTTACAAAAATAGCTTTCTTTCTGACCAACTGGAACCAAAAGCATCCACACAAGCAGCAACCTGCAAAAAAGAAAAGTGACAGTGTTTTAATGGTATCAAATGTGAAGTGTAGTTCAGAAACTTGACAAGTGTGCCTTATTGTAAATCTATCTTGGACTTTTTCTTTCACATTTCTTTCATAATCAGTTGCCAAGAGACAATGAAAGCTACAAACAAAGAAAAAACAGGGCGAGCTAAAAATAAGCCCAGATGTAGCTGCAACTTCGTCGCTTATGTAAGATCTGCAGAAATTAATTAGCAGATGTCAGTACTAGAGGGTGTGAGGGCAGCGTTGAGTAAAACACAGCAACTCATTGTTACTTACCTCCATTTTAAATTAACTGCACGGCTCCAGTCGAGACAAGTGGTGCTATAGTTCGATACCGCATTAGATGCTGAGAGCCCTCTTCGAGATCTACAACGTACTCTCTGATAGAAGAGACAGAGTAGAGATAAATCAGTTATTTACGCAGAAAAATCAAACAGTACTGAATGTGAATAGTGGACACTGCAAAATTAATCCGAAGTCTATTGAAATTGCAATGTGTAATATCCAAATGCAGAAAGCGCAATATTTCGAAAAGGCAAAATATGTGAACTCAGACAGAGACCTAAAAACAGTGCTGAACAGATTTAAAGGTCCCATGTCATGGCCATTTCTACTGATCATGATTCCATTGCTGAGGTCTACTAGAATACATTTATATTGTGCAATTTTCCAAACTCACATTGGTTTCTCATACAGCATCTCTGTATAGTATGTGTATTCACTCTCTGTCCTAAACGGCTTGTTGGAGCTCCTGCCTCCGCCCCCTCCCTGTGAGCCCACTGTGCTCTGATTGGTCAGCTCGCCCACTCTGTTCTGATGAGTCCACCACCGTTACAGCGGAACATCAGTGATTATGTGTTACAATGGCGTTAGCAACCAGAAAATGACACCAGTAATGACAAACAGATGAGAGTGCTGCGTGGGATCTGGGTGCCGTGTTGGCACGACGTTGCGCGGCTCGCTGCTGTGAGGAGCGGACAGTGTGAGCTCTATTACTGGTGTCATTTCCTGGTTGCTGCATGGGGTCTGCGAGACATTGCGAAACTCAGCCTGAACTCAGCCTGAGCACCATGGACGCAGGAAGGGGGGGGTGCTGAGGGGGCTGCAGCACCCCCATCTGCGAGGCTCCACTAGCACTCGCACCCCGATCTGCGAGGCTCCACTAGCACTCGCACCCCCAAACGCGTCGCACCTACAGTGTAAGCGCGCCACAGTTTCGCCACTGCGAGGCTCCACTAGCACCCCCCCCCCATCGCGTCACAGTTTCGAGTGTGTGTGTGTGTGTGTGAGGAGCTCCACGGATTGGTCCATTTGGACCAATGGGTCCATTTCGGTATGGTCACGTCACTGTACCCAGGAAGAAAAAGAAAAATCTCCAACGAGGCTGTGTTAGAGATGTAGTCGCTACAGGGTGTACTTTGAGGGTTTGCGACTCTGCAGACCGTTTACATGCAGAAAAGACCTTCATAACACACAATAGGCGCGTTCACACCGCAGTACTTTTCCCAATTTAGTTCCAATATAGTTCCGAAATGTTGCGTTCACACCAAAAAGAGCCGGAACTAAAATTAGTACATGAGAACCTTTTCACCCCCTTTTCAGTCCCTGCTAGAGAGCAGGGACTTTCGTGGGAGAAAAAGGTTCCTATGTCTGATTGGCTGGGCGGATTGCAAACCACGCCCCGTAAAACTCCCAAAAAGTTTTGTGAAGCCGCCATTTTATTATCCTCGCATTAGCATTATTAGCATTAGCATAGCGCAGAAACGCAGAGAGACTAACTTATGGCAACACAAAATAAAACATGGGAGCGGTGGAGATGTCGGCGTTCTGGCGATTTACTCGGAAGGCTTCAGTAGAAGCTGCTGGGACTCCCAGCAGCTTCTACTGAAGCCAGTCCCCAACTCCGGGGACTTCCGGCCGGGGACTTTGGGCGGCAGTATATGCCGTGAAGTGGTTTGCGGCCTGCCAGTAAACCCAAAACAGAAGAAGAAGTGACGTCAGCGGCTTCATTTGCCTAATCCTTGCCTAAGGGACTTATTCCCGTGTGAACGCGATCTGTACTTAGTTCATGAGAACTAAAGAGTTCTCATGAACTAAGTTCACATGAACCTTTGTGGGAAAAGTACTGCGGTGTGAATGCGCCTAAGGGGATGGGTAATAACCAGAAAAGCATGACATGGGCCCTTTAATAAAAAAATCCTTGTTTGGAGGCCCTATTTTGACTTTTAGTTTTCTCTTTACTGTCGTGTTTAATATAGGTTTTAGTGCATGTAAATGGTCTGCAAAGGCTGAAATCCCAAATTTCCCTCCAGAGGGAGTTTCTCTCCCACACACTCCCCCTCGGCCTGAAATTCTTCAATTGTACTCTTTTTTTTTTTCATAACATAATGACAACATCACTATATAACACTCGCACTTCTATTGGATAGCGCTCCAACACATTGTGCGTGAGGGGCGGGACATCTCTAAGCGGTTGACCAATCACAACAGAGCCGGCCAGCTAACCAATCAGAGCAGACTGGGCTCTGGTTTCAGACAGAGGGTGAAAAGAGGTGCTGCAGCACAGGCAGTATGAGAAATAAAGAGCTTTTTGAACATTAAAGCACGGAGACATGTCACAGTAGAGACACTACATACAATACGAACTTGAAAGGTAGCAAAATAAGTCCTCTTTAAGAATGTAAATATATTTTAAACATATTTTTCAATGATAATGTGGCTAATGATACAAAAATACTCATTCCCTCTACTGTCGTGAATCATATAGCAATTGCAGTCAAAATAATGATAATTAGTGTTTTTGTCCAATTCATGCAACCCTAGAAAACTGCCATCAGTGTTTGTACCAACAATTAAAACTTACCTCTGATCGTCTGTTTCGGGCTCGACCAAGATGTTTTCCTGTCTCTCCTTGACTCGTAGAAACACAAAGGAGTCCAGGCAGGGCTCAGGCACTGGAACAACACACAGGGTTTATTGTGAGGGGCAGTGAAAATGTCAAGAGCAAATGCCACCAACTGCCACTGAATGCTAATGGCAGTATTTCAGGCATGAGACATCCAAGAGTGAACAAATATAAATAGAGCGTGTCAGGTGAAAAGATAGAGAATACAAAAGAGGTTTTACCTGCTTTGAGCATGTCCATGGTCTGCAGGTTGGGGGGCATGCGCTTCAAAGCTACAGCCTTCATGTAGGTTTCTGTGTTGGCATAGTACCTGCAAGCCAGATGAATGTGTGTTATTACACCTCAATGTCACAGAAACAGCTGTATGCACATTATAACTCTATTATACTCACTCTTTGGCAAAAGCAAACTCCTCAGGTGAAAGTAGAGATGGATCCCCCTCCCCTCGTGACTTTTCTTTCTCCAGGACATGAGGGAAGAACTTTTCAATCTAGACATAAGTTGTACAATTAAGCTATTGCTTTTATAGAACGGTTACCAAGTGTGGCAATATGAAAGAAAAATACACACTAATTGAATAGTGCGAGGTGGTTGCTATGCAACAACACTAACAGCTAGCGAACATATTAGACAGAGAGCGTTGATCGATTATTTGGCTATTCATTTACATTAATGTGTATGTTGCCGTTTATTGTGCACCCACTGAAAAACTGTCCAGGTTGAGGTTGTTCTAGGCTGTTGCTTGGAGAGAGCTTTCGCACCTGTGGCCACTAACGGTCATAGTTTATTTGCTTTGTTTCAAGACCCGCATCAGAAAGCTTTTGAATGGTGGTACTTTTCCAGTTGGTCTACCTGCTCTCCACGTAGCTCTGCATGTCGTCGTTTAGGTGCTTTTTCTTCTGGAGATAGGCACTGCTTAATCCACTCCTCTATAGTAAAGCCACCCCGGAGGTCGAAGTTAAGCTTAAATGTTTCCATCTTAAACTTTGTTAGTTAGTTAGTTAGTTTCGTAACGGACGTAATGTAACAGCTGTAACGGTTGTAGCGGTTTCTCAGACGCGGAAGGATACTGACTTGTGAAAAGTAACTACAATTCTACCCGTGATATACGCTCATTATATCACGGCTAAGAACCAATCAGATTGCTTGATTTGACTTGTCCGTTTTATAAAGATCAGGTAATTTTGTCAAAAGGCAGTAGGTGGAAAGAGAGCTTTATTTCTAACGCCGTAGTGTTGATCTTACTGACCTTCTGCAGACGGGAGCGCAGGTAGCTGCTGAGCACAAAGCGAATCCGGTCTATTTCCATGCGATGGATGCTGGCCTTTGCATCTCCCTTCTTCACCCGCTGCAAGTTTTCTTCCTGTTGGAAAGGTCAGACATTTGTTTATTACGTCACTGAACAAGTACAGACATTATTGACAAATCTCAATTTTTCCAATGTAGTATTACAATGCTCTATTGATTTGGAGTCACTGGTTTTGTGACATTTAGAAAATGTATGTAGACTCATGAGTCTTTCTGTAATTGAGAAATGACACATGGATGTGTGGAGGTATTCCCTGTGTAGTTTACCATGTGAGTGAGCTGCTCCATCACACACTCCACCACCTCAGATTTGTTCTCCTGCAGCTCCGGGGAAAACTTCTCATTCAGCCAAGCCTGAGAGCGAGAAGGAGAGAACAGCTGTGAGCAGAGGTGTACAGTAACTAAGTACATTTACTCGAGTACTTAGGTACAATTTTGAGGTACCTAAACATTTCAGATGTGTGTATCTCACACTGCACTGCAACTTCTATTCATGTATCTTTGCTTTTAAATGAGTGTTTTTAAATGCCATTTCATATTGTTGCTTTTAAATGAGTGTTTTTAAAAATGTAATTTCACAACATGTTTCTTAATGTCTTTCATTTTTGTAAAGCACTTTGAATTGCCTTGTGTCGAAATGTGCTATGTGAATACACTTGCCTTGCCTTACTAGCACTTTACTTGAGTGTTTTAATTGTTGGATACGTTGTACTTTTACTCCACTACATGTATTTAATACCTTTAGTCACTTTGCAGATTTGGATTAATGATGTGAAATATAAATATGATTTTAGTTACACCTGGTTCAACATTCAAAAGCTACCCTGCAGTATACACAGTCATTAAATGAGCAGCTCCTTTACCAGCGTCAATAAACACATTAATACATCAGAAAGACAACATATAACATCATTATTCTGAAATGGGCCAATCTGCATAGTGAGTACTTTTACTGTTGGTACTTTAAGTACATTCTGATGCTAATTATTTTTCTATGTTTACTTGAGTAACATTTGATTGCAGGACTTTTACTTGTAACTGAGTATTTCTTACACTCTGGTACTTGAGGATACTGTCTAAACAGGAGGAGTATATTTTGTTAAACACATTATAGGAAGTATATGGCAATTCCTGTGACAGTAAATGTTAAGTGCGTTAAATCAACTCACTTCTTCCAGTTTGGCTATGAGCTCCGCCGGGGTCATAACATCCTCCTGACTGTCATCCTGGTTCACGCTCCCGTCATCAGACAAAGCGTCCGACATAGTTTTCCTTTACGAAGCAAACAGACAAAGTACTAAGCTTAACCGAAAAGCTAACAGTATGTGAAGCTCTTACACTGAATTGTACACAGAATCAAACAGAACAGCTTAGAAAAAAAGTTACTAAAAGGCTAACACAGGCTACACAGCAGCGTGTATTTACTGGAGAAGCTCTTCTTTATTCGCGCCACTACGCCTGTTCTCGCGAGATTATGGTGTTGTTATTTCCCCTACGGTAGGACTGTAAGGCAATGTGTGACACAGGCTGTATGTCGTTTGAACACAAATAAACAGGTTACACAATAAAATAATTTCGTTTATAGACATTAAGTATATATGTCCTAACTTTGTTCGTGTGAACTTCTGCTTTGCCAACCCTAATAGAGGGAATTATAACACTGTCGCGGAGCAATGCTTCCTGACAGTCTGAACTCAGGGAGCTGAACACCAAGCGTTATCAACACAAGAAGCACCAATATTGCTCAAATAAATAATAAAAATGACCTACTCTGTTTTGTGAAATGATGGTAACATGTACAGAAAATTATATTGACAAGACAGATCTATAGCTGCAGGCAATGACAGCATAGGATATATACAAAGCATAACATGAGTTTATTCACACACAAATAAAAACCTAAATATTTCTGCAGTCAATCCTGTAACTTCCCATTTCCCACAGAGATCCCAAAAGTCACAACATGCATGTCTCATCTTGACAATTGTGTCTCTCTTTCACCCATGTCCATCTCTATCAGCTATCGTGTCGATTTAAAAGGGATGCATTATCTGCTTGGTTTGTTCCAGCTGCCTTGTTTCAGACCACATTGTGGCCTGCAGCATCATCTAATTTGTCTGATTTCCTCTTTCTCTTTCCTCCTCATTGCTCTTGCCTCAGAATTCCGCGCTTTTCTTCGCCACTAATGATCTTCCATCCGTTGTACAAGCAATGTAACGTTTAGTACTGCAAATGATTTCTCTTTGTAGCCTCTGGGTTTATCTGTGCTGCTGTACATCCTGCAGGGTTTAATCCAGGTCACACAAAATCCTGTACAGACGCAGTCCTTTTATAAAGCAGATAAACAGACACAATAATCACTTAAAGGTGGGGTAGGTAATTTTGGAGAAACCAGCTCGAGTGCGCGAGCATTTGAAAATACACAGCCGGAAGAAATCTGCCACTTCCTTACAGAGCCCCTCCTCCAACACACACGAACGCGCACATGACCAATGAGGGCACGAGATAAATTTGTGCACAGATGGAAGGCTGACAGGCAGGTCTATGGGGGTTATTCCCTATCTTTATTCAAGAGCGTGGTATTTAAATTTGAGAGCATACTTTATGTATTTATTTCCCTCAAACCCTGTCCTCGCACTCAAATAGTGCCTGCTTGCACTTAGATGTGCTCTGCTTGTGCTCAAACTGTACGCTTGCACTCAGATATATTGCTGTTTACAGATTTGTTCTGCTCTCAGATTTATTCTGTGCGCGCTCGAAACTTTTGTGCAACAATCCTGTCAAAATCCCTCAACCAATAGGAGGCCAGGTGTCCTTGCGGGTGCGTTCGCTTGACCTATTACAGCGTCCCGTAAGGGCGGTTACTCTTTGGTTTATAAACTCCCCCCCTCCACGGCTTTATAACATAGCATGTACTTCACTTGTTTGATTTACAACTTTTTTTTGGGGGTGGGGAAGCACAGTTAGTATATATATACCAGCACCTTACATAATAGCTACGTTCAGTGGCGTACTGGGACTAAAAATCAGCCCGGGAATCTCGACCGGCCCTCGTTATCGCTAGTAAATTGTCAACGGGGGGAGGGGGGATTGCTAGTGAATTTTCCGACCGGCCTACTTCTTCCTCCAGACTGTTGTTCTGCTCCAGCACTGTTGTGCTACGGCTTGGTTCGGCCCGACGCGAAGCGGAGTGTCGACAACCCCATATTGTATAGATATTCGTATATCACGGCCTGAAGTGAGCTATTGCATTTATAAAACGGTTACCACGTGTGGCTGGCAATGTGAAAGAAAAATACACATTCCAATTTAAATAGTTTTAATTATTAAATAATGATGTTCAAAATAAAATAGTCCCTCCGTTGCTTGCACAAAATATAGTGCGAGGAGGTGGTTGCTATGCAACAACAATAACAGCTAGAGAACATATTAGACGTCGTTTAGGTGCTTTTTTTTCTGGAGATAGGCACTTCTCAATCCACTCCTCCATAGTAAGGCCACCCCGGAGGTCGAAGTTAACCTTAAATGTTTCCATCTTAAGCTTTGTTAGTTAGCCTAGTTAGCTAAACTACCATTGATCTCATTCTGACCTCTGACAAGTCCAGGATCTCCAGTAAAGGGGTTATAGCATGCGGGTTAAGTGATCATTATATGATATTCTGTACCCGCAAAAAGCTAAAACAAAGGGCCGGCTGTCACAAAACAGTCATATCTAGAGACCTCAAAAACTACTCTAGCGAGGCCTTTAACCTAGAACTGGAGAGCCTGGACTGGTCAGATGAGCTCAGTGGTACACAAGTTGAAGAAACATGGCTTGGTTTCAAAAACAAATTCTCTGCAATACTCAATTATTTGGCCCCCCTAAGAACAACCAGGGTAAAAAATCGCGCTGAGCCGTGGATGCACTCCGGCATACTGACCGCCATGAAAACCAGAGACAAAAAATACTCTGAGTTTCATAAAAGTCAGTCAATGCTTTCCAAAAGCACGAGCAGTGAACTCCAGGCCCACGTGACTGAACTAAAAATTGAAAGAAACAGACTAAGAAATGACGTAAGCTCCATGATCAAAACTGCCAAAAAGAATTTCATCAATGTCAAAACTGAGGAAAACAAAAATAAACCCCGTGAACTTTGGAAATTACTCAATAACCAGCTTGGCTGCAGTAAAAAACTCAAAACGAGATTTTCTAACTTAAACATAAAGACAGATAACAGGCTCATCACAGACAAACTGGATGTGGCCAAGTACTTGAACATTTTTTTCACAAACATAGCCACAACTCTTGTAAATAAATTACCCTCCCACTCAGGGCTTTTTGGAGTAGATCACATCATGACCTACTACAAAAACCTAGGGGTACGCAAAGATGATTTCAGTCTAGCAAGGGTAACACCAGCAGAGGTACTCATTAAACTGAGCGCCCTCCAACCTAACAAGGCCACTGGCCACGACAATATCCCCTCCAAATTCCTCAGACACACAGCAACCGCCATCTCACCAGTCATAGCTCACATAATTAACCTCTCCATAAAACAGGGAAAAGTACCCAAAGACTTCAAAATTGCAAGAGTAACCCCCCTGCACAAAAAGGGCAGCAAATTGGACCCAGGCAACTACCGCCCTGTTTCTATACTTACCTCCATCTCGAAAGTCATGGAAAAAATAGTATATGAACAGGTCGAAAAGTACCTCGCGGAAAAGAAACTAATCTATGAATTTCAATCTGGCTTTAGAACATCCCACTCCACTGACACATGCCTTCTTTATTTGAGCGACCACATCAAACAAGAGGTGGACGAGGGCAAGTACTGCGGCATGGTGATGCTGGACCTACAAAAGGCTTTCGACACTGTCCATCACCCCATTCTGATTGACAAGCTAAAAGCAATTGGTTTTGATAAACTATCGGTGAGCTGGATGCAATCCTACCTGGAGGGGAGAGAACAGATGGTGGAGGTAAACGGTACTCTGTCCCCCCCCCCCCCCCCCCCCCCCTCCCAGTGAGCTGTGGTGTTCCACAAGGAAGCATGTTAGGTCCGTTACTGTTCCTAATTTATGTAAATGACATGTCATCAGCATGTGACTGCAACTTGTTCCTGTTCGCGGACGACTCAGCCCTGCTGGTCTCTGACAGGAACAGGTTGCAGGTTGAAAAAACCCTCAGCTCCGAGCTCGGCAGAATCTGCACCTGGCTCGCCGATAATAAATTATCATTACACCTGGGTAAAACAGAGTCCATTCTCTTCGGTTCGAAACATAATCTCAGCAAATCCGACGACTTCTCAGTTGCAGTGGGCGACATTATTGTCACAAGTAAGAAGGAAATTACATACCTAGGATCTATTCTTGAGGCAAACCTCTCCTGTGACAAAATGGCATCCAATGTAATAAAAAAAGTCAATCAAAGAACTAGATTCCTATACCGGATCTCCTCTCTGGTAAACAAAAACACCCTGAAAACTCTGGCAGGAGCACTCATTCAAGGGTACTATGACTATGCTTGCACGTCATGGTACCATAGCACCTCCAAGGCGCTAAAAATAAAACTTCAAACATCGCAAAATAAACTGGTCAGACTACTGCTTGACCTTTCATCTAGAACCCACCTCACCTCTGCCCACTTTGACAACCTAGGATGGCTTAGAGTAGACGACAGAGTACAGCTACTTGCAATGGGACTGGTCTACAAGATCCACTACACCTCTATGGTACCCATGTACATGTCAAAATTCTTCCCAAAGGTCAAGGAATACCATGATCATAACACCAGAGGGAGCTCCACAAATCATGTGAAACCCAGATTTGGCACAAAAAAGGGGGAATACACGTTTCGCAATTATGCCACATCAAGGTGGAACGCTCTTCCCACAACTGTAAAGGAAAGTAAAACTATACTTACCTTCAAAACCTCTCTTAAAGAGCACCTTCGGGGGAGAGCATTGCAAAACTGGCCCCGGTAATGGTACAAATCTCAACCTGTCGTTCAATGGACAGCTTCCCCCCCCCCCCATCTATGTATATACTCGCATTTTAGACTCTGTTACTAACTGTATATCTGTAGACTTGGTATGTCTTAAATGTCCGGTTAGGATGTATTAGAACGAAATCTAAAATGAAAATTGTAAACAAGCAATCTGTATGTAAAAAAACCACCTGTATGTAAATTGTAAATAAGCCATCTGTATGTCAAATATGTCTTATATGTCTTAAATGACATGATGAATTGGAAATGGGGGACCCTGATGTAAACAAGACGAAAGTCTTTCTCTGGTCTGCATCCCCTTAACAATTGTATGTTTTGAGCTGTACTGTACTGTACCCAATATACAAGCTGTTAATAAACTTTTCAATCAATCAATCAATCAAGTTAGTTTCATAACGGACGTAATGTAACAGATGTAACGGTTCTCAGACGCGGAGGGATACTGATTTGTGAAAAGTAACTAGAATTATACCCGGGATATACGGTCATTATATCACGGCTAAGAAACATCAGATTGCTTGATTTGACTTGTCTGTTTTATAAACATATACTAACTGTGCTTACCCCCCCCCCCCCACAAAAAAAAAGTTGTACAGCGAAGTGAAGTACATGTTATGTTATAAAGCCGTGGAGGGCGGGAGTTTATAAACCAAAGAGTAACCTTAATAAACCAAAGAGTAACCGCCCTTACGGGACGCTGTAATAAGTAAAGCGAACGCACCCGCAAGGATGGTTGAGGGATTTTGACAGGATTGTTGCACAAAAATTTCGAGCGCGCACAGAATAAATCTGAGAGCAGAACAAATCTGTAAGCAGCAATATATCTGATTGCAAGCGTATAGTTTGAGCACAAGCAGAGTACATCTAAGTCAGGGGTGCCCAACCAGTCGATCGCGAAGATTCCCAGTCGATCGCGAGATGTGTCTAAAAATAGAACAACAATATTCTGTTTTATCGTTAATCTCCTGTAACATAATCTTCCTGTGCCAGAATAATGCACTTGAACGCATCAAAGCTGTGTGATTGGCCGGCGTGACCCCATTTGTCGGGGCGTGGCTGGTGAGCAGTGAGCACTGGCAGTGCACTAGTTCGCTAACGTTGTCCGTGTCAACAGGAGTGACAGTCCGCACACACACAAGACCGCAATTATGGCAGAAGCAAAACATATATAATTTTCACTCCGAGTGGGAGGATGATTATTTTTCTATCTATTCCAATTCAAAGTCCATCTGTCTCATCTGCAATGCGAGCGTGGCTTTATCGAAGAAGGGTAATTTAGGAGCGGCATTTCAAAACAGTGCACAAACGCTACGAGACGGAATTCCCTCCTAATTCTGCCCTACGCTCCAAAAGGTGAGGGGCCTGAAAGGACAGCTAAATGCACAGCAGTCCATTTTCACCAGGCCCAACAACAAGAGCAAGGCTGCTACCAGAGCATCTTAT